TTTAGTCTTATACACAGTCCATATTACATTAGGGCCTTGGGGGTGCGGGGAGGGGGACCATCTGCCAGTGGTGGGGCCCTCATACCCGAACTGCACCCACTAATTTTAATGCATTGTAGACATAAACACACAATTCTCTCACACATATACATGCACACTTCACACCAACATGGGACGGGGAGGCGATGGGGGCTGAGGGGCTCCCCCTAACTCTCTGTCTCTGGCCCTGCGCGGGTGGGGTGGCCATCTGGGTAGAAGATCCATCATGGGGGGATGCAGGCGGTCCTGGCCGGCCTCCTCTCGTGGGCCGCGGGTCAGGTGGTCCTTGGCTCTGCTGCACCGTGCTGGGGCCCTGTCGGGCGGTCCAGGCAATCTTTGGACGCTCTGGGCCCTGCTGGGCGAATTGGGGGGTTCAGTTTGGGCTGGGCGGGGGATTCTTTGTATCGGCCTCCCTTAGATCAACCTGCAGTGTCGGGGGGGGATGCCGGGTCGTTGCGGTGGGTGGCAATCCGTCCTGCCGGGGGATGGGCTGGGGGGGCCGAGGCCCCTCCGGTGTGTGTGGGGGGGTGTGGTCCCAGTTGATGGGGCCCTTCGGCCCTGGACCCGCTTTCCTCGGTGGGGGGGTTGCGAGTGGGGCTGGGGGGCTCGCCGCCCGTCCTCCCTCTGCGGGCCTCCCTGTACGGGGGTTGACGACCCCTTAGTCCCTTGAGGGCTCCCTCTCAGGTTGGGCGGGTGGTTGTCTCTGGGACGCGAGGCCGTAGACCATTATGCCATGGGGGCGGTGGGGTGGCCTCGGTTGCCTGGTTCCCCCTGCCTTCGCCTTGGGCCCGAGGGTGGGGGAGGTGCTGTCACGTCCCCTGATGGCATCAAATGCCAGCACATCCAATGACAAATCAGTTCACACCTACACTTGCACATACAACAATGGGCGCATACGAGGTTGAGCGATCAGTATCATTACTATTATTACTTTTTAGCGTATGTTATAGACATAGGAATTTAAATATACATGTATATGTGTAGGACATGCTACATTTATATAATACCTATTTGTAATATTATTATTATTATTATTGTCGTTGTTGATGTTGTTATAATTTTTGTTGTTTGATGTCCTTGTAATGAGGGTTATGTTTCATATGGTTGTTTGTATTCTGTATTCCCCTACACTTAATTTTCTCCATCCGACCTTCATTATTATTCTTCTTATTCTTTTTTTCTTTTCCCCTCTCCCCATGGTGATTAATGTCTGTTATTGTTACGATTGTTTCTGTATCCCCCCCCCTTCTTTTCTTTTTTTTTTTTTTTTATATAATCACGGTACTAGGTGGGCAATATTAAACAACAACAAAAAAAATGTTTTCATTTTTTCATTGTTTTCAAAAGTAGTAACAATATGAGGATCCATTAGCAGGTAATGAATTAATGGTTTTTATACAGCAATTCAATTATAATAATATGTTTCAAGAAGGCAACTAACATATTATTACAAGACAAATTCTATTATTTAAAATCGGGTAAAATCCAAAGAAAACAGCACAATGCATTTGAATACAGTGCCCGACAAAAGTCTTGTCACTTAACCAAGTTGTAGGAACAACA